GGAGCCTTAAACGCTGAGTTACGTTTCCTTTGGTTCGCTTCTCATGCCATCGTCTATTAAGGATTGATAAATGATCTACCAATTATTGATGAGTAGTGACTTTGGTCCGAAAAGGTTATAGGCATCGTATCACCCGACGAATAGTTATCGGACTGATGCACCAGAGGGCGTCGTCCTAACTTCTTGAAGCTCCTCTAACTATTCTGAATCGTCTTGCAAACACCCTAAACCGTTAAGAGATCGCTCCCGCAATTTTTCTCCCTCATGACGTTAGTGAGGAAGATAGAGTGCGGCGGGAGAGAGCAGGAAGCCGGCCATGACAGGGGGTCAACTGATCAGCATTCAGAGTCGACTGTTTGGCTGGCACCCCTTCGGGAGGCGCATTGATAACATTCTGTGATCCAGTTGCCCCCTGCCCTCTCTCGGTCCCTCTTGCCACTCCGATATCCCCTTCCTCCCTTCTTTTTTCCACGCCATCCTAGCCCGGCCGGTGCTGTGAATACCCAATTATTACCGGCGTCGTCGGATGGATTTTTCATCATCGCCTTTAGATTCAAGTATTTCTTCTCAGTTTGATTATCACTTGTGGTTCGGTTCATGGCGTCGCCACCATAACGGCGGATACAGTTATAATGAAGTCGGGATGAACGTCACTTTCTTGTCGAGGTCTTTGTGCAGTGGTTGGGTTGAGGGGAAGGAAGGGGGGAGGGGTGGTTGACACTGCCGTCATCACGTGACTCACTGGTTATTATTCCATGCTCGGTAACAGTGTCGCACGTCCCCGCCGTGGTGAGTCACCCTGGAGGAGCGACTGTCGCCAATCCCTCACCCACTTACTCTCGTCTAAGCCGTGTCTACCGTCAGCAGCATTTTTTAAATTATTTATTCCTTCTAATTTGTCATCTTTTCCCTGGTATTAAGTCCTAATTAGCGCTATCATCATTAATCCCTTCCTTATCTTGCAGCCACCGCGGCCCCTATCCGCCCCCATCCATTTGTTAGCATTCCTCGGCTCATATCTCCGCCCACTGAATCGCTCATCGCCACATATCGCCCCTCACAGACGCTCGTTCTTGTCCCTTCCAGGATGAAGCCCCTCTCCGCCTTTCTCCCGGCCCTCCCCAGCCCCTCCACTGCCTTCCCCCTCCCTCACCCTGTCCCCGACTGGCCTACATTTACACATGAAGGGGAGCTCCTGTACATGTCGGGGGCGTGGTACAGCGCCCTGGTTTGTTCAGGTGCCCGTTATCGAAGGCGTGACTCCTAGTAGCTACTACACTTCCGTTCTCGCTTAATCCTCTTCAAGCGAGGGGAAGAGAGTGGCGCGGTCAAACGGAGAAAGGGCAAGGAAGAGCTGGTGTAGCTAACTAGCTTTTACATGGCTACCACGTAAAGAGTTTTATGAAATGAGTACGTACGTCAGAGGGTTAGGCAGGCAATGTATTATATTGTTAGAAAAAAACAAAAGTAATTAATATTATTGTTTTTATTATTATTATTGTTATCATGGGCAGTATATGAATTCGTGAGTGCTTTCATTATATCGGTTATGCAAATTCTAACCTTTGCAAGTTTTTATTAGTCTTTTTAAGTCGGGCCACCTTGAGCCTCGGTTCTCGTCGAGATTTATGGATCATCGCGAGGGCGTAAGCGTTCCAAATAAGCAGGAAGGAACACGTCTCCCAGGGGGTGGTGTTGACACTCGCGTCTTATCGTGCGTTTACAAGGTCGTCTTCGCCCCCCCCCCCATCTCTTCTGCCTCCCCCTTTCCCCTCCCGTTTTCCCCTCCCCTGCACGAGAGCTGCTAGACACTCGAGGATCTTACCGCAGGGAACACGTTTTTATTTGTGTCGTCGAGGCGTTGGTAATGCAGTGTTTGACAAGAGATATCTCACCTCGGTTTCACATGGTTGATTTCGCCTCTTCCCTTGTTTATAATACGATAACGCAACAAGAGGCAAACCTAAAAAGTAACATTTGTCGAGCACCAGAAATCCTTCAGACTTTCCTCTGTTTTACTTCAGGTCCGTTAATTAATGAGTAAGTGAATTGATTAGACGATGCATTGAATTATTTAAACCTCGGAATCCCAGCGTCTCCCTGCCCGGGTGGAGAGGGCGTCCGAGGGCGCGGAGGAGCGCCCGGGATCCGGGGACAAGACCAGCAACAGGTCTGCGGTGCCGGGCGAGCGTATAAGGCAAAGGCGATTTCTGATGGTCATCGGAGCCGGCCAGGTTAGCGCGCTGATTTAGTGTCGCGCCGCGTTGAGGGGCAACGTGTGGGGGAGGAGGGGGGAGGGTAGCGTGTGTAATAGTGTTGAATAACGTGGCGGGAGATGGGATCCTCTGCGGGTGATACATGGGCTCCAGATCTTCCGGAAGACAGGTAGAGGGCGCGCCGCAGATCGGCATTTTATCGTACTGTGTCTGGCAGATGCTATCTGCCGGACAACAAGGGATCCAGGCAGCTTAAGGCATGAAGCCAACATTTTGGTAGCTTTTAGTGGCGTCGCAACATTAATGCCGACTTGTTGGCGCCGGATTTCGGCACCCTGATCAAGATACCGCAGAGATTTCATCAGTTGTCGCAACAAGTGGACACCCGGAGCGCAATACGACAAACTTACCTTACGCTTGTTGATATTTCCCCTGATGGCGAGACTATCTTCGCAGTCGCTATTTGTACCTGGCGTGTCTGTTGTGTCGCCATACTCAATTTAGATAACTAGTGTTTACAAACACTGCCACGCGGGATTATGCAACCATGAATATAAATTCACGATGCACGCGGCACGCCTTACCAGTGTCTTCATCCGGACAGACAAGCGTCCGTGGAGTGGGTCATGACAGCATGAGGATACTAAGCGGCCGTCTCCTCGTCCCTAGTATGTTAATTCATCACAAGGTTAATTGTCTTTTTGTTGGAGTGCTTGTTGGTAACTTGTACTTGCTATGAAGTTGGCCTGCAATAAAAATGGGTGTGCAGGGAGAGCCGTGGGTGGGCGTGGGTGCGGTTGGCTAGGACGAGGGTAGGCGGGGAGCAGAGATAATTAGGGCGGGAGGGCGGCGACCAGAACGGCGTCGGAGCGTCAGGCGGTGGCGGTGGCGATCAACCGCAGGTAAATGATTTAAACGTGCTTGTGCTGGCCTGGCCCCGCGAGCGAGCAAGTGCTCCGAGACGTCTAAGAAAACAATTACTCCTGGTTTCCCTTCTGGCCATGTGTATGGTTTCCTTTTTTTCATTTTGCTCTTATTTTGCTGTTCTTTATTTATTTGATTTTCTTTTTTCACTTTTCTTAGTTCATTTTGCTTTTCTTTTTGAACTTGAATACGCAACCGCCGACATATCTGAAGAAGCCGCAAGACACGATTTCCTAAAGAGCGAAGTGATCTGACCGATTCCGAAGGAGGCTCGCCGGGTTCATTATCGTGGCTGAAGGGAAGGCGGAGCCACATCAGATGTGACATAAAGAAAATTAGGTGAACATGACACCCTTTTTTGTAATCAAAACCTCAGATTAAAGGTGTGTGTGTGACAGGCCTATCTTGATCGGAGGATGAGAAGGAAAGGGATTGAGGACGGGGCGTGCAAATAACGCAAACTGGAGCGAGAGAAAAGGAGTGGGGAAAATGTGTAAAAAGGCAAAGATAATGTGAGGAAGTTCTTAGATATATGTCATAAATAGAGGAGAGAATAAAGTAAGGTATGGAGAATATGATAAACTAAGATGGAACGGACTCTTGGAGAGCGAAGACGGAGAGGGTATGGGTACTGGCAGGTGTGGTAGGGCCGCCGTGGTGAGCCCAACCATCACCTTGTGGGCCAACACCCACCTCGGCGCCGTCCTCCGCCCCTCTGCCCCCAACCCCCTCCAGCATCCGGACTCCGCCCTCTCATCTCGTTTCATCTCCTTCCTTCGATCCTTCTCCTTCTCTTCTTCTGGCTCATTTATTCTATTCTGTGGCTTTCTTATTCTCTCTCTCCTCTCCTCTCCTCTCCTTTCTCTCCTCTCCTCTTCTCCTCCTCTTCCTCTCCCTCTCCCTCTTCTTCCTATCCCTCCTCTTCCTCTCTCTGTCTCTGTCTGTCTCTCTCTTTCTCTTTCTCTTTCTCTTTCTCTCCCTCTTTCTCTTTCTCTCTCTCTCTCTCTCTCTCTTTCTCTTTCTCTTTCTCTTTCTCTCTCTCTCTCTCTCTCTCTCTCTCTCTCTCTCTCTCTCTCTCTCTCTCTCTCTCTCTCTCTCTCTCTCTCTCTCTCTCTCTATCTATCTATCTATCTCTCTATCTCTCTATCTCTCTCTATCTCTCTCTCTCTCCCTCTCCCTCTCTCTCCCTCTCTCTCTCCCTCCCTCCCTCCCTCTCTCCCTCCCTCCCTCCTCCCTCCCTCCCTTCCTCCTTCCCTCTCTCCCTCCTCCTATCTGTTTATTTATCTATCTATCTATCCATCTATCTACCCATTCTTTCACCTCTCCCTTCCTATCCTTGTCCTCACCCTTCATCTGAATAATAGGATGACTTCAGCGCAAGTCAAAATACCTTTTTAACACCAGAGAAGACAAGACTCTTCTCTCTATCTAATGGAGGGTGGCAGGGAGGCAGGTTTGGGAACACGGGCTTGTCTGCGCACGACAATTCACGTTGACTGACTTCGAAAGGCCTCCGCAAACTGGACATTGTACATCGTCCCCTAAGTTTGATATGTATAGGAATACGAAGACTTTCCCGAATGCGTTTCGAATTTTCATTTCACACTTCAGTCTCAAACGAGTCTCAGGAGGCGCTTTTCGACACACGCCTGGCTGCGCGACTCGCCTGTATGCGAGGGAGACGTCGACGAGTCAGCGGTAGTTAACAGTGATTGATCACATCAGATCGTGAGGCAGCTAATGTATGGGCGACGTTTGTGGCATTGATGAGTGCCCCGAACGCCCGGCCGCCGCCCGTGGTCGGTCTTCCGAGTGACGGAGGCTGAGAGGGAGAGAGAGAGGCCATGACGACAGCGCCCGACCGCCACCTCCGCCTGGCCGCGGCTCACCAGGCAGTGTTGTGGTGGACGCGGTGTGGAGAGCATCCATGTGAACGTTCGTCCCGCGCGCACTCACGCCCGCGCCCCGTGCTGGCCAAGCGACGCATCTGTAGGCCTCTTGTGTACGGGATCTTTCCGTTATTTTTTTCGTTTCTGATACGAAATGTGTGTTTTTATGTGTTGTGCTAAGTGTGGAATTTTTTAGAAAAATATTAATGTGTATTTGAAAATTGTAAAAGAAAAGTAACGGAGTGTCTGATAATAAAGCTAACACCAGTAAAGTGAACTAAGGACACGATGACATAAGATGATATTAGCACTAATGTGAATAATTGATAGACCAATCATCCGTGCGGTGTTGATTACGCTCTGATATTTACCCCTGCATATTTATTACGTTGTCCAGGTGTCAGTGAGGTAAATTGTAACTGATGTGTTATTACCGAGATTGTTCTTAAGGTCGGGTGTCAGTTTCTGCAATTAAGCAGACATGTTGGCCTTACGAAGTTGTTGGCAGCTGCATGAGTATTGCAAATGTCTTGTTGAAAACTTGCAGGTGTAAGTGCAGATGCCCTGTTGCAGATATAACCTTGCAAAATGTTTCATAAGATGGATTATTTTAAGACCCGTTTATACTTTTTGTGTAAATATGGTGTATATGAATATTAGTTCACGCGGCTTGATGTGTGCAGTTGTATCAGGTTTGTCCCTTGCGACACTGTGAACACCACGTATCCATTACAAGTCCAGCAATATCTTTCCCTGTTTTACATCAACTCGCCTATTGAATTGCGGGAAATCGAGCCTCGCGAGATGATGAGGTGGTTTTGTAATTAATGCGGAGGTTAGGACAAGTAACCTAGCACAAGGATGGCGGCGAGGGGGTCGAGGGGAGAGTGTTCTCCCATGTTCTATCTGCCTGAGACATCGGGGGACCGAAAGCACGCTGAACGCCTCGCCTTTATCTGGAACAGGCCATCTTGACGACGCAAGGTGGAGGGTCGACACGGCTTATCTTGTCATCTGGATTATTCTCTCTCTCTCTCTCTCTCTCTCTCTCTCTCTCTCTCTCTCTCTCTCACTCTCTCTCTCTCTCTCTCTCTCTCTCACTCTCACTCTTACTCTTACTTTTACTCTTACTCTCACACACACACACTCTCTCTCTCTCTCTCTCTCTCTCTCTCTCTCTCTCTCTCTCTCTCTCTCTATATATATATATATATATATATATATATATATATATATATATATATATATATATATATATATATATATATCTTTCTCCCATTCTCCCTCTCTCTCTCCCTCTTTCTCCCTCCCTCTCACTCTCCCTCCTTCCCACCCTCTATCTCTTTCTCCCTCCCTCACTCTCCCTTTCTCTTTCTCTCTCCCTCACTCTCCCTTTCTCTTTCTCCCTCCCTCACTCTCCCTTTCTCTTTTTCCCTCCCTCCTTTTCTATTTCTCCCTCCTTTATTCCCTCCTGTTTCCGCTCCCTCTCTCCCAGTTTTCTCCTCATACTTATTTTCAGTGGCACTCGTATGTGTCACAAGAATCCTGCGACCTTTGACCGGGCTATTTGGGGACAATTGCGTAATGAGATCATGACTTGCGCGGCCGCCGTCGCATCCGGCCCGTGTGTTTACCTGGAACATGACCCGCAGCGGCAGGAGTCAGAGCTCCGGTCCTCGCGACAAGAAAGTCCTTTTTTCTCCTTCTGTCTGTCCGTTATGAGTCTACACTAGTCAGGTGTGGACGGAGACACACGGGGGCGCCTGTGTGCCGGAGAGCCGTAACTCATGGATACTTAGAGCGGCACAGAGAGGTAGCTGTGTAGGGCGGGAGCAAGGGTCACACACGCCTCTGGGCACGACGGTACGCCCTCGAGGGTACGAGCACGAGTCCTACCGAGGGGAGAGGGGCAAGAATGAGGTTGGGGGTGAACCACGCTCGCTAGGATAATGACCAGGAACCGCGTGCGAGGGAGGAACAGGGCGATGAGGTGAGCGAGCAATTACGACGAGGCGATGGGTATTAAGGGATGTTGGGGCGCTGGGTTAGGTTTGCTTTGTTTCTGTGAATTGTGTTCGCGGTTTCAATTCCAGCTTCGTTGGTCGCTCATTTGGTACCTGTTCAGAAAGGGAATTTGATTTTAGTCTTATATGAATACGGAGTGACAACTTAGTATTTGTTTAAGGATTATGGCCATGACAAGGCTACTTCGTTTTTCAAAGTCTTTTTAATTTAGCGAGGCTGCGAATCTTTTTAGTTAATTTCTTTTGAACTGAAGAAGACCCATTTATAATAATATATTAAGATTCTCGATTTCATTTGCGCTTGCAGATTCATTGAAGGTTATTACCGAATATAGCAAAGAGCCAGACAATTACGGGTTAAGACGACCAGCATCCTGTGACCTTCATAACTCATCTTAGCCGAGATCAGCAAAGGTTACCCGCCTGCCTGCCCGCCGGGCATCAGGTAATTGCCGGAAACGCGAATACCCAAGAAACAATCACCTGAACTGCTCCCGAGACCTTTATTCTCGGGGCACGTGTAGATAATTCTAGAAAATACGACAGGCTGTATCCAAGTGCAACAATATAATCGCAGCGTAATTGGATCGCCTTACCTGTGCTCCGCCACGAGTCGCACCGGTTGGCTTGTCTCCGCGTTTGGAGGAGAGGGAAACTCATTTCCTTCAGGGACTGCGATTTCCTTCAAAGATGAGCATACGACGGAGTTCCTTGGGCATTTTATATAGACAGTGGGCGGGGCATCGAGAGACGGGAAACCGGACGATTTTTTTTTCTTCATGTATATGTATTTCGATACTGTTAAAGTCGTTCGAACACTCTTGTTCGCGAGTGTTTATTTGGCTCATTGCTTTCTTTTGCTTTGGTAAAACCCTCCGAACAAATAAATAAAACAAAATACTGTACAGCAGTGTACTCGGGTTGACAGCAGGGCGTTCACCAGAGGGGAGCGTGGACATCATTAATCTTAATAGACGTTCATGACTTCTTGTTCCGGAAAAAATAACATGTTATGGGGGGGGAGATAAGATGGAGAACGGAAAAAAATGAACATAGATGAAAAAATTGTTTTGAAGGTTTTAAGAGGCACGTGAGCAGGTGTGGCTGAGTGATGTCACACACAAGCACTGATTGGCAGTCGTTTTCGGTGACAGACGAAGGAGGAGTAAAAGTAGAGGAGGAGGAGGGACAGGGAAGATTTAGTGAAAGTGGCGAAAGACGGAATCGATAATTGCGTGGCGTGGAAAGAGGAAAGTAGAGGGAAGGTAGGAGGGAGAATAGAGAGGATAAGCAGTTTGTTTATTTATTTGTTTAAATATTTACTATATATATATATACACACATATATATATATATATATATATATATATATATATATATATATATATATATATATATATATATATATTTATATATATATATATATATATATATATATATATATATATATATATATATATATATAAATATATATATATATATAAATATATATATATATTTATATATATATATATATATAGATATATATATATATAAATATATATATATATATTTATATATATATATATATATATATATATATATATATATATATATATTTATATATATATATATATATATATATATATATATATATATATATATATATATATACATACACATACATACATACATATAAATACACACATACATATATACATACATTAACATTCCATAAATACATATGCAGTATATTCACACGGTAATGAGAGGAGGTGATTGTATCCAGCCCGGTTAAGGCAGAGGGAGTGGACGCATTATGAAGAAGAGAGAAAAGGAGGAATTAGTGCAGTCGCCGTATAAAGGAATAAACGAAAAGTCCTGAATGAGCTTTTGACAAGGGCGCATGGGAAGGAGGGCGGAGGGCGGGCTGACTGACAGGGAAACATTTTCTTTGGCGTCTCGTGGCGTGAGGAGCGAAGGCAGCTGCACAAGACGAACAATACTGACGTCGGGGAGTGGACGGGCCAGCGGGGGTGTGGGGGAGGGGGGGTTAGGGGGGAGTATGATTGACAACCATGTTAGAGGAGCCTGAGTGGATCCCTCTGGCTTTACCTTAGCATTATCTCTCTTCCTCGCATTATCCTTTCCTCGTTTTCTTTCCTTTCCTCTCTCCCTTTCCCTCCTTCGGTCAGCCACCCGAAGCGCCACTCCGACGCCGTCCGCCAGCATCGCCGTCACGTCTCATCTCGGACGTGATGTTGGCACTCCGGGGTTATCCTCGACGGTGGTGTCATTAGGCCCTCGTGCCATGCTGGCGATGCGTGGCGTTTTGCTGGTGCTGCGAGGAAATCTCTTTGTCTCCGTCTCCATTATTTGCCGAGTGAGTTTGCCGCAGTCGGGCAACAGATCTGAAAGGAATAGCGAAGATGACCGCGCCCGGAATTAAGAGCGGCGGTTGTATATCATTGCATGTTGCCGACAAAGACATTGCAGGAGGGCGCCGTCTGCACTCTGCCGAGGGGCCTCCTTGAGCTGATAATTAATGGAGTACCGATAATGCGGGTACCGGGTTATGATAGCCGGGGTACCTACCTCCTTCAGGGACGTGATACGAGAGGTACCAGACGCCACGTGAAGGCCGATACGTAATAGGGGGAATCGCTGTCGTAGAAGTGGGTCGTACGTGTAAACAGGTGTAGTGTCAATGCCGCCTTCTGTGGTATTCACATTTAAATCATTAACATCAGTGGTTTTTACCTTCGCCTCTCACGCCATGTTACCATTATCACGCGCCGATTATGTAATACATCAGTATGTCGTTTCAGGGGTGCCTTTGTTTCCTCTCTCTCTCTCTCTCTCTCTCTCTCTCTCTCTCTCTCTCTCTCTCTCTCTCTCTCTCTCTCTCTCGCTCTCTCGCTCTCTCGCTCTCTCGCTCTCTCTCTCTCTTTCTCTCTCTATATATCTGTCTATCTGTCTATATATTTATCTCTATTTCTCTTTCTCTCTTTCTTTCTTTCTTTCTTTCTTTCTTTCTTTCCCTCTCTCTCCTCCTTCTCTCCTCCTCTTTCTCTATCTCTCCTTCTAACTCTCCCCTTTCTTCTCTAGTC